TAGGTGGCTAAAAATAAAAATAACTTAATTCATGAATTTTGATTTAGAATATATAATTAGATGTTCCAATTAATAAAATTTATTATAATGTAATAGAATTATTTAATTTTATTAAATCAATTTAACAAAACCATATTTTTTAGGAAAAATTGACAGTAATAATCTCAACTATTGGCGGCCCGCTTATAATAATCCCAACTATCGATTATTTCAGAATAATCCCAACTTTAGGGACCTTCCGCCAATAATGGTCCCTATAAATAAATTCTTGTAGTTTCTGAAGTGGATGAGGAGAGATATAGCAGATAATCCCTATAAATAATCTCAACTTTTAATTTTTACACTTCATTTCTATTTAAAATTCATTTTTAGGAGGTAATATCTGGTCATGGACCATTATTGGCAGACGGTCCATATAGTTGGGATTATACAAAAATAATCAATAGTTGGGATTATTATCAGCGAATCGGCAATAATTGGGATTATTATTTTCAATTTTTCCTATTTTTTAAAAGTTCCATATAATCATATGCATGAGAAGTCCTAAATATATTTGGAAAAATTGATAATAATAATCCCAACTATTGCCAGTCCACTAACAATAATCCCAATTATTGATTATTTTTGTATAACCCCAACTATATGGACCCTCCGCTAATAATGGTCTATGACCGGATATTAAGAGTAAAAATTAAGGGCGAAAATTAAAATTTGGGATTGTTTATAGGGATTACCTGCTATATCTCTTCTCATCCACTTTAGAAACTATATAAATTTATTTATAGTCGTTCACGCCGGACCATTATTGGCGAAAGGTCTCTAGATTGGGATTATTCTGAGATAATCGATAGTTGAGATTATTATGAGCGGGCCGCCAATAGTTGGGATTATTACAATCAATGTTTCCAATATATTTTTAAATTGTTTAAATCAAATTATATAATATGAAACCTCAAATTAAATATTCTAAAATTATATATGTAATTAAATTAGTCTATTTTTAGGAAATACAAGACTACCAATTTTTATTAAAGGAAGAAGATAATAATTAGTAAGTGTCCAAAAACTATAAATTATGAAACTTTAGTGTTCAATTTGAGTTACATATTTAACCATAGTGTTCAACTGGATTATTCTCATATAACCATTGTTTCTAATTTGAACCTCATCCCTTTTATAGTTTATACTTTATACGATTATAGTGTGGGACATTTATAACATACATGTAAATTGGGCCTGCGCCTATTAATTAATGGGAATTTTTCACAAGTGGTCTAAAAGGTGAAAGTAATATCACTTTTTTCACTTTTCAAAACTTATTTCAAAAATAGACTAGAAAGATTTCCTTTTCAAAAATAGACCTGACCATAACGGAAGCCTGCGTGGTTGTTAAGTAACGGAGCGGATCGGAAGATTGAAATTCATGCCAATTTTATGCTCTATTATTACACTTGCAAAATTTCATAATTTTAATACATTAAGAGAAAAAAATAAAAAAATAAATTGAAGTTCAATCAAAGAAACTGAACCGAATCTGTATACTCTTAGACAATTACAACTTAAAAAAAAAAAAAGAGAACACTGACAACTTTAAAAAGTTAAGTAATGTGATACGAAGTAAGTTATAAAAAATTGCAAAAAGTAAAAATTATAAATTGAAAAACAAACAATTAAAAATGTAAAATAAGAACAATGTTTTGGAACTATTTAAAAAATATGAAAAGTAATTATAAATCTATTTTTGAAAGAGTACAATTTTTTTAAATCGATATATATACAAAGTAAAATCATAAAAAATCAAATAAATATACAAAATTTGAAAAAAGTAAAATTCAACTAAATATATAAAAAACATGCAAAAATAAATTAAATTTTTATTAGTATAAATTTAATAGAAACCAAGATTCTTAAAATTTATTAAAAAATCAAAAGTTAAAGATAACTAAAATTCATGTAAACTATATAAAGCTGGAAATAAAAATTTCCCAAAAAAAAAAAAGAAAATAGAAAAAATTATAAATTCGTAATTTAATATTATATACAAATGAAAAGCATTTAGAGTTTTTTTATGAAAATAGTACTCGTATATTTTAAAAAATATGAATTATATAATACTAAAAGCCTAAGAAATTTTATAAATACAGAAATTTATAAAATTCATAAAACTCATAGAAAATAGAAAATCTTATAAAATAGATTAAAAATAAAACACAAAATCAATAAATGAAAAAGTGAAAAAATAAGAACTCGGAAATAAAAATGTGAAAAATGAAAATAATTTTTTTTTTAAAAAAAATACCATTTTTTTTAAAAAGGTAAAAAAAAAATGATTTTTGTAACTGAATACTTTTAAAATGGTTACAGAATTTAATAATTATCATGATCATTTTAATGCCATTTTTTTCCTATTGTTTCTTTGTGTTTTTTTATTGTTGACAACTTTGAAAATTTCTGTTTTTTATTTTTTCTCCAAGTTTCTTGTTGTTCATACTAATTAACAGTAAGTTAACATTTTAAGTGTTTGTATAAAAATATATATTGATATTTCTATTTTAAGGGTGAAGAAAAATATATAGAAATCCAAACAAACAACAAAAATATGGATAAACAATAATAAGAAACAAGGTGCAACAAAAAATAACAAGAAACAACAAAATGCAACACGATGCAACAAAATGAAATATACATGATAAACAAAAAGCAACAAAAAATAAGATGCAACAAAAGGAAATATACATGTTACAACAAAAAGCAACAAAAAATAATACTATGTACTTCGTATATCATAGTGTCACAACAAATATATAATTCAATCTATTATTTAAATTTAGTACAGTTATTCATTACATTATTTGGTTTTTCTTCTTGTCATCTCTTCTTCCGTATGTCACCTATATCAGTGTTGGTGTGCCTTATTAATTGTCTCTCAATCTGGATTGTCATTCATACACCATTCTTTGTCATCCTCCACACCAGTTGATGGTGGTACTCCTTCCCTGTAGAATATCAATCTCTTAAGTAAAGTAGTAAAAGAAACATGTTAAAAGTTTATATTGTAAAGCAGCACATTAAAACTAATTACATTACGCTCAATTATAGCTTTTGATTACTTCCAAGTAAAGGGCAGGGGTCATGCTCTAGCTTTGGGCCTTTTTCTCAATGACCTGAGAAGAATCATTAAACAATGTACTTTAGAAGCTAAGAAGAAAAGGCACCGAGCATTAAGGAAGATACTTTAGAGACTAAGAAGAAAAGACACTGAGCATTAAGCAAGGTACTTTAGAAGCTTATCCTTCATGGGAGCTTCAAGATCAGACACGCAAGATACCTTTCCCACTCTCCATTCCTAGACATCCGAAATTTTTGACGATATGAAAATCACATAAGGATGACTTAGAGTTGCTTTGTTTGAATAGTGGATTCCATAATAAATAAATTAAAATCACTATACTCGTTTGTATCCATGCAGCACCTGAATGGCCTAATTTTAAAGATGAGAAGATCAATGCTCTTTATTTTCTGAAACAAAAAAAAGCATCACAAAACCACCCTCACAAATTATTTAGAGCAAACAACGTACATTGGGCTAGACTGCTAGAGTTATCTCTTACCTGTCAACTTGAAATGGCTTTAAAAATGAAAACCATTGCACTCAAATCCCTTGACGGATTTGCTATGACCTGCAAGTTGATGAAACACCAAACATTAACTGGTTCCCCAAGTTCAATTTTACACGTTAGAAAGAAAGGATACATACCATTGCACATAAACCTCGAAAAGCCTCCTCCTTCTCAATTATAGCACATATTACCCTGATTCATGCTAAACATACTATGAAACTAAAATTACATTACTTTAGTTCAACAACTAGAAACCCAAAAGAAAATAAGAAGCTCACAAATTCTTATTCACTGTCAAAACTCAAAAACTGTATCAACAAAGAAAATTCATGTAGCAGATTAAATTGAGATCATGATTTAGTTGAGTTGAGTTAAGGAATTGCATCACTAAGAAATACCCCCAACCACGTAAGAAAGAAACTTCTTCAGAATAAGATAGTGGAAATTATCTCATTTGACTGATATTTGGTATATAGAATTACAACCCAAAGATATAACACTACAGTCTAAGGCACATACGGAGTACAAAATATTGAAATATGACAAGTTAAAAATCTCAGAATTCGGATGGAAAGCCTGACTTTAAAACATAATATTCCTTTTTTGAAATCATCATTCATATATCCAGATTTCAAGTCTAATGCCTTACAATTAAGGATATGAGCGCTGATAGTTTTAAAGCAGTTCTTAGCCTAAACTTTATTACTACGTATATCAGTATACAAAATAAGCAAACAAAAATTAAGGCTAAAACTAAAAACTAATGTTGAAAGCTTGAAACAGAGAATATATAAACAAAAATAAATGTGAAAATAGGAAGAAAAAAATTGACCTGAATTGAAGTCTAGTGTTGAGTAATGAAGTAAGAAGCAAATGTCAGACTACCAGGCAATTGGTCAGCTGCGGCACACGGTGAGCTGTAGGAGGTATCGCGCCAGTTAAGGACTAGGTAGGCGACGAGCAACAGACGATTGATAAGGACCGGCTGCTGATTTGCCAAGCTAGGCGATGGACCGATGGTGAAGAAGAACAAAATATATGTCGATAAGCCTTGCATCTGTTCCACAATTGAATTGCATATGGGAGAGAGACCGATTGAGATGGATTCAGAGAGTGGCGGTGCCGTGGTTGAAGTGAAGTCACTGATAGAAGCCGTCGAGGAGATTGATGGGAAAATAGGGAAGACGGATAGAAGCTTTTCGGAGACGAAGACCGCTGCAGAGTCGGTTTTGTTTAGACGTTTAGACTCTTTTTGAAATAAAAAGTGGAAAGTGAAAAATTGAAAGTTTAAATTGAAAAGTAATTTGTGAGTGCACATAAATGATATATTAAGTATAAAAGAGGCTCATGCGGGTAATTTGCACTTAATTCATGCAATAGGTGTGCTGTCAGCTACTGGGCTTGGGCTTTGTCGATCGATTGAAGCTACGACTTCCAATATCCGAAATCCGAAATTCCAACGACATTTGGGAAGAAATCCCTTTTGCGGTTCTAGCAGTATTAACATGTTGGTCCAGCCTGCGTGCTGATCATTGTTTGAAAAAATAGCGACTTAGAGTTTAAAATACGGGTATGACTCTGAATATTGTTTGTTTTCATTTCATATGTTAGAAAGAATTTCAATAATCAAGCACTAGGATTCGGTAATGCCTGTCCGTAATTCTGGGCTTGAAGTATGATGTTCATGTTCATATTCATGTTTAGAATCTGCAGCACTTGATACTGATTGCATTTCAACTACTCGTCTTATAGCTTTCTGTAATATGCTTTAATTTACATGCTTCAATTCGCATCTCTTAAAGCTATCTAGGCATTCTGGGGCATGGCTGCTGAAGACAGAATCAGTGGACTTCCTGGTGATATACTTGACCATATTTTGGGGTTATTACCAATTCGAGATGCTGCTAGAACTTCTGTTTTGTCTACGGTTTGGAGAGATGTCTGGTTAAGTCTTTCCCAACTCATCTTTGACACTAACTTTTTTATTCACATCCATGACCGCTACATTGCAGAATCAACCATGTTTGTAATCAACAAAATTCTCATGAGGCACAACAAACCTATTCGAAAATTTGTTTTCCATTTTGACAATTTCTTTTGGGCAAAAAGAGATAAGAAAACTAGTTGGGTTGAATTGGATGAATGGTTACTTTATCTCACAAGAAATGGGGTTGAAGAATTGGACCTATCTTTTGGGTCATCTGCATATGCATACGTATTGCCCAATTTCATATTCTCATGCTCAACTCTCAAGAAGTTGTGTCTTCATGGAGTGTTTGTTGAACCAATAAACGTCTCGTGCATATTTCCGAATGTCACTTCTCTTTGTCTTAAAAGGATTCAGTTTGATTCCAAAAATCTTTTCTATTCTCCCACGGATCTTCCCATGCTAGAGAGTCTTGAGTGTGGAGATATTTCTGGTTTCAACATGACTGCTCCAAAACTTAGAAGTTTAAAAATTTCCAATGTGTTCAACATGACTTCTCATGGTGTTCTTCCGTTTACCTTGGATTTGAAACCCATCTCTTCTCTTCATCTCGACCATTGCTCTGCTAAGGTACACTAGACACACATCTTCTACTTTTTTCTGGATTACTATTTGTAGAATATCTTTTAGAAAATTAGCTGACTCCTACTTGATTTTTTCTAGGATATTATTAAAGAATTTAGACGATTGGGTAAACAAGGAACTATGCTCAATGTGGGTTGCCTCAAGCTATGTTTGAGGGTCCTCAGCGATGAGATTTCCGCCTTCATTAAATTGTTGCAAATGTGTCCAAACTTATACAAACTTGATATAGAGCTATCGGTAAGCCGGTAATCTGATAGAAGGCACAATTCTGTGTCATAGAGAACTATTATTCTATTTTTCAAATTGTTCATGTTAGTTTTTCTCCTTCCTTAAATTGCATTTCTTTGCTCTAAATAAATGGTGGGCCAAAGGAGATATATTACCATTTTTTTAAATGTTTTTTAGAACATAGGTGTGGCATTTACTACAGAAGCTTCTTTGGAGTGTCGGGAGTTTATTCTGGCCGAAACATGCCAAAGGGTTCATATTTTGAATATTTCTTGTGCGTTTAGAGGGACAATGCCGGAAATGATACTCTTCAAGTGGCTTGTTTCATGCTTTCCGATGCTTGAGAATGTTTTCATATATCAAAGAAAAACATTCTGTTCCAACACAGAGTTTAAAAACAAGAGAAAGCTTTTGCGCTTTCTTCGGGATTCTTCAAAAGCGGATATTGTTTACTCCGAAAAAGGTTGTTAGATTTGTAGTCTAGCTTAAGTATTTTGTAATATAGTACATTACTATTTTTGAAGTCATGTGTATGTATTACTCAGTATGCAAACTTTCAACCTCTAAATCTTGCGGAACGTTGCCCATTAAGTTTGATGGAAAAATTTCACCACTTCTGAAATTCATTTAGGGGGATTTCTCAATCCGCTAAAGTGCTGAACTATGAATACACTTCAACGGATGGTTATGAATCCTTTTGATTTTGTTCAGATCTCAATGGTTATAAAGCTTTCTGTTTCAGAAGGTTTTCTGGAATGCTATCCAACAATCCTTTTTAATTTATCCAACATTCATTTTATTTATTGGGAGGTTTTCTGGAGATTCCATTGCGGATTTTTGTTCTTGGGACTGCATTTTTTGGAGTGGTTGCAGGGTTGGTTTTATTTGTCTCATGATTTTCAAGTTCCACTAGCGGATTGCATTTTGTAGTTTATTATCTAGACTAGATATCCTTGTAAAACGCAATTGTTAGCGGTTGCAATTCTTAACGGTTGTAATTGTTAGTTTCACTAATAACGGTTGTCCCATCCCCCTCTCTAGCCTCAAAACCCGAAGATCTTCTCGACCTATGATCAGACATAGAAATTATTACCCTAAAGAGAAATTATCATTTCACTAACCAGGTGAGAGCTTTGAAGATATAGCTGGCTTTTGGAGACTGAACTTCTGACCTGGAAAGCACACCCTTCTTTCACATTCTTTGCACACCTATGATCAATCAATCATTGATTGATTTTTAAATGCTATTGCTTTGATTCTGCCAACGAGTAGGGCTGGACTCGGGCCCGGGCCCGGCCGGGCCTCGGTTCATGAAAGGGGAGGCCCGGAACCGGCCCGGGTCCGGGCCGGGCTGGGCCGGGCCTCGGTTCAAATTAATTTTTTTTTTTGGCTTTTCCTAATTAACCCCCAACCCTCCCTCCTCACCACCAAACCACCTCAAATGGCCCAAAATACCCAACCCAAAAACATAAAAAAAAATTCAAAAAAAAAAAAAGAAAAATAAATAAATTGGCCCGAACTGGGCCCGAACCGGCCGGGCCGGTTCACCTTTTCAGGGGCCCGAGCCTGGCCCGGAACCCCAGCGGGTTGGGCCTACCCGGACCGGTCCCTGGCCGGGCCGGCAGTTCGGGCCGGTTCAAACAGTGACCGGGCCGGCCCGGTTCCGGGCCGGGCCGCCCGGCCCGAGTCCACCCTGCCAATGAGTCAAGAAAAATACCCGATGTCGCTAATATATTCGTAATTATTTTTTAAAATGAGTGACTCTAAAGCTTCGAATGGTATTTATAAATCGTGAGTTTGTATATTAGAAAAAGATGTTATTGGAAATTGTAGTAATGTAGTATGAAACAATACATTCGTAATTATTTTTTAAAATGAGTGACTCTAAAGCTTCGAATGGTACTTATAAATCGTGAGGTTGTATATTATAAAAAGATGTTATTGGAAATTGTATATTGACATATTGTAATTAGTAATTGCTCCAAGTAAGACCAAAAATAACTAAAAAAAGTACAAATAGGATCACTACATTTTTTACCATCCAAAATAGGTCTAACAAATTCAGCATACCCAAAATGCCCCTAAGGGTATTATTTCATACTAACATGTAATAATGCATAATAAAATCTTAAAAAATAGTAAACAATCATTTTTTTTATAATCGTACAAAAATAATTAAAAAAATATTATTAAATAAAAAAATTAAAAACTATTTTTTTTTTAATTTTTTTTAAAAATTATTAAAAAATAGTAAAATATCATAAAAAAAATAAAAAATGGAAACCTTTATCACCGCCTCCCAGAACCACCACCTTCAACTGGTAAAAATTATGTCATTTTTTATAAAAAAATTCCTTTTTTTCCAGAAAATGCCAAGAAAATGGCATAATTACTCTTCATAATGCCAAAAATCGCATTGAATCTGCCATTATTATGGCATTACTAGGATTGTTGGCAGATTTCTGTTTTTGATTTTTTTAAAAAAATTAATAGAAGATAGTAAAAATCCATAAAAAAATTAAAAAAAACGGATAAATCCGATTGGTACAGATTCTGCCATTATTTGTAAAAAATGCCATTGTTTTCTGAAAATGCCAAGAAAATGGAATTTTTATTCATCATAATGCCAAAATTATCATTGATTCTTCCATTGTTATGGCATTACTACAAATTTTGGCAGATTTCCAACCGGTGATGGGAGGTGGTGGTGCTGGGGTGGCAGAGGCGGCGGCCTTTTTTATATAAATATTTTACGATTTTTTTAAATAATTTTTGACGTTTTCTTTTTATTTTTTACGTTTATTATTTTTTTATGAATTTATTATTAATTAAGACCTTTCAAAAGTCTTAAGGGCGGCATATTTGTCCAAATACACATAAAATAGTTTTACTATATGAAAGAAAAAACATGTAGTCCTATTTATGCTCTTCGAATAACTTTTTTGTTCTATAGGGAATCACTTTTCATACTGCTAAAGGAATTTGCCATAGATCACAAATTGCCATGTGTTTTTATATGGGATAAGGGTTAGTTTGGTCCTCGAAGTTGCAAAAAAGGGGTCAAATAAGTCCTTATATAGAAAATTCTGTCCGGACGTGCCATTTGAGGTGGCTCCCGGTGGAATTTTTTGATTAATTTTTTTGAGCATCTTATTCATTAAGTCTAGTTTACTCATACCAAATTTTAGCTAAAAATTCAATCGGGAAGACATTCAAATGAATTCTTGAAGATAACTGTGTCGTTAAAAGCGCAGTTATCTTCAAGAATTCATTTGAATGTCTCTCCAATTGAATTTTTAGCTGAAATTTGGTATGAGTAAACTAGACTTAATGAATAAGATGCTCAAAAAATTTCATCAAAAAATTCTACCGGGAGCCACCTCAAATGGCACGTCCAGACAGAATCTTCTATATAAGGACTTATTTGACCCCTTTTTGCAACTTCTAAGACTAAACTGACCCTTTACTCGTTTTTATATCAAAGAAAATTTCCTGTGGAGAAACTCAATTAAGCATGGCGTATTCCATTTTGAGTTGTGCTAGAGGTACCTCATTTGTACACCCTTCTTATATTTGTGGTTTACAAAAGCCCAACACATTAAATGAATTGCTCCATTTTAATGAATTGCTTTTGTAAACCACAAATATAGGGAGGGGGTACAAAATGGGGTACAAATTGGGGTGGCAATAGCATTTGTGTTCCATTTTTGGGTACCTATAGCATAGCTCATGGTTAATACCTCATTTGGGGATAAAAATTGTCTTTCTTGGTGTAGTACTGTAGTAGGCTAGTAGTGTAGCTTCGTTAATACCGTTCTTGTTTCTTCCGTACGCTCATCTCTTCACTTCACTGAGCATCTCCTTTAGGTTTCGCAACATTCAAACCTTCAATCCAGAAATCGGCGCTAGGGTTCCTCAATCGGCTTCACTCCCTTCATCTTTTAACATTATTTTGTTAAGATTGGATTAGCTATTTATCTTCTCCTCGCGTGTGAGTTGATAGTTTCCTGGATTTGTGGGCTGGTGTAATGATTGATTATTGCAGGTGAGGCTTCACTCCCTTCATCTTTTAACATTATTTTGTTAAAATTGGATTAGCTATTTCAAAATAATCGAAATGGTAAGAGTAGAAGCTACTCCAATTTTAACAAAATAATTTTGTTTACCAAATGATTTAATGGTTCGCTGTTAATTTTATGTTTACCAAATATTTTTGTAGACATATTGTTTACATGTTCTTATCTTTTCTTAAAACAAAAGAATTCTTAGAGTTCGAAGTTCTTTAATAATTTACTTTGTTTTTATCTATTATCATAATTGGGCATAAAAAATAATGCCAAGATTTTGGCCTCTAAGGTTTCTCCTGATAAAGACAAGTTGATCCAGGAGGAATCTTTGGCGGAAGAGGAACGCTCGTCTAGACTTCCGAGGCTCAAGTTAGTGTTCACTGGCATGTTTAGTTTCTTGTGGCGTGAATTGGATTGGATGATCAATGTTGAAAGTTGGTCTCTTGAAGTTGCAAGTTTACTTGTAGCTGTTTTATTTTCTGTGTCATGATCAAATATCATATTTGCCTGTGTGAATTTCCAAAATAGATTTGTTGGTTGGGTTATTTTTGTAAATTGTATTGTTAAGTTATTGCTCAAGTTATATTTAAGATAAAAGGGGAAAAGGAGGGAAACGAGAATGTTATAACAGCCATCCATATACTTTTTTCTTTGTTCTGTAAGACTCTGTTTGGTGGGAAGGTTTTGGAGGAGAAGGAAAGGGATGGGTGTTTATTATTTTGCTAATTTATTTTTAGATGATTTTGAAACAGTGAAGATGATTTTTTTTATAGACATACATAATTTAACTAAAAATATTGTTCTTTTGTGATTTGTACTTTAAGTGTCTGAGACTTGTAAATAAATAAAATTTCGTATAACGAAAATAAATCCTCTAATTCATCCCTTCTGAGAACCCTCAATCAAGTGCATCCTAAGTGATCTATGCCTTTTCTTTTGTATCTAGGGTGGCTGGGTGGGTATTCACAGGTATCGTTTATAGCAGTTAATCCTGTACAGAACATAACATTATAGCTATTTCCGGTTTGGTGAAAATTGACCTGAAGTTGCCACTTGGTATGTTTTCCACAGGAACTGACAATCTTGCTGACATTCATCTGTATCATTTGTTAAACTAAAGAAATTTGAAGTGCAAAACACAAAATGATTATAGACTTAAGACTATGTGTATCATGCTTACCGAAATTGGATTTATAATCTATAGTATAATATCCCGTTCTTGTATCAGCAATCAATCAGTCATCCCTCATTTCCATTAGTTTTTTTATATATTGTGTAAGGCTGTTTTTCTCTCCCTTTTCTGGCTATCAATACTATATTTTGACCAAGTATGGTACTTACTCTATTTTTGTGGTCCCTTAAGTAATACTGCATTACTGCTTAAATTGCAGAGCCGCTGCTGCTTATTGTCCCATAGACATGCAGAGGGCTCATTACTTGTTGAAGACTTCAACTTAGAACTTGAAAATCAGGGCGGAGAAAAAGTGCAGCTTTGATATGATACCGATCAGAGGTATGGCCGATCAAGTGGATTTATTTTCTGGTCAGGGCGATGTCGGCGGAGTTGTCCTAGCCACTTGAA